GTTATTCAGCGATATACAAGAAGTACTTTGAAGACACCTATAATCATGATCCTGCACCTCATCCATGTCTTTCACCTTCATTAGCCATGTTTCTTAACTGTAAAGTAACACATAGCGCATTGATATGCAATAAACTCACCCTTACGATAACCTGTCTGCACCATGGGTAGACTCATTTGAGCTTTCTGAATCTTTATCGAGATTTTGTCAGACACCAAATTGACAGAGCTGATGAAACTCTCAAGACATGTGAAGTAACTGACTTGTCAAATATTGTGCACGGCTAACACTTAAACTGAATGTGCCGGAGTGGTATTAGTTTAATTTCCAGAGCATTGTGATTTATCTTGCTTTTTCTGATTACATGTTTTTCTTATTTACCAGTTTGTTTAGTTCGACCTCATATTTTCCGTACATCAATGTCTTGTCATGCAAAACGCAAAAAAATGGCTTTGATAAACTTCATCATCTCATTGCGTTATCTAAATAATTACGAAGCACTGAATAACTATTTTTAAAATCCAAATGTGAAATTCCAAAGGAGTGTGCACTCATGACCCTACATAATACCATAACGAAATCACTATGTAGACAGTGGACACGATACACTTATACATTTCAGAGGAGAAATCCCATGGTTAACATTTTCAAACTCATTCAGTCAGGGATATATTGCCCAATGCTTAATCAGTAGTATCGAGATCGTCTCAGTAACGACTTGACAGAGTTGAGTGACAGCGGTTTAAAACTAAATTTTGAAAATTTATTTGGAAGCTAGTTAGTAGTAAATATATGATTATTATTTAATGCAGTTTCATGTAATTCGTTTTCTTCACAATTTTAAGCCAAACAAGAATGAAATAACTTGCAGAATACGACGAATTCATTGCATTTCATTATTTTCTGTTCAGCTACATGCAAGTTGATAAGTTTATTTATATAATTCAAACTTTTAATGTGGAATGTAAAGAAATGAACTGTGCACAAATAAAGAACAAGTTAATTGGGATAAAATGTAGTCAAAAAATCAAAGTTTTAACACAGTTTTTCATTAATGCTTAGAATGAAAGCACTAGGACACTTGGGATAATTTTTCTACTACATAATATAACAAAACCTAGGAGGTTTAATCCAAAAACATGAGTCTGAGTTAAACACATTCAATTGTGATAATAATTAACTAAAGAAAATAAATGAAAAAAAGAGGTTAATATGCTTCAACTACGAGGTCAAACGAATATTAACCACGTATTCTTTTTGAATGTAAAAGTCAGATTAATGCCACCTAATCTCTATGGCTTCTGTGAATAGGTTATTTTGAATCCACTTTATACCACATCTCAAGTAGGTATCGTGCTGTCGAACTACAAAGACCATTTAGTTCGCAATAGCATATGTTCACACAAATAAGCCTACCAAAAACGCCTAGATCTTCGTCGTTCTGCCCTTTCTATGTGCATGCTTTCCCATGCTCATGTAGATTAATATAGAGAGTTGGAGGCATTATTAATTGGAAATAAGTTAACTTATTAGCTTGTATATTGCCGAATAGAAAACAACGAAATATAATGAATTCATCATATTCTAACATTATTCGAAATTTAATGAAGTGCATTTCATGTACAGACACCCATAGTTGGAAGATTATTTTTATTACTAACTGAAACTAGTTGAATAATTACCGAAAATTAAAGAGTATTAGATAGCTGTTTCATATTGAAATGTAACTCTTTGGCGGTTTTCATCCAAGACCCATATCGATATCACCTTATGACAACAACAGTTGTCAAAATTGCAGTCCATCCCTACGAAGTATAATAATGTGACATGTTGAATACTGTAGACATTTGGATTATTGTGGGACAAATCAATAATTAAGATTCAGTACTGAACCAGAGAATTATGTTTCATCTATGAATAAATAATTTTTATGCATTCAATAACCATAAACAATTAATTCTATGATTACATATATATTTACTTATTCACCACACTTATTGATCACTGAGTATTAACCAATGAAATGTTTATTCACTCCTTATCTAAGACAGAATACGATTGATTGTATTCCATCATGACCTGTATTTCATTTGATCATAAGATTTGTTTTGACCAGTCATAGACTAAATGAGTTGATGTCAACGTTTCACACTATAAAATTGGGTAACATGGATTTACATCTCACATGGACCATCAGATCTCTCAAGATTCTGTACATATACTTTGCTGACAAGTACCAACTAGCATGAAACCTAAGTTCAGGGTTCCTAGGTGATGCCTTCCAACTACTTCACTTACTAATACGTATACACAGTGAATTTACTTTCATATTTTTAAAAAAATCAAATGAATGACTGAGAAGATTAAAGTAAAACAGTGCCTATTAATAGCTATATTCAAACTGACTTCGATCAGTTTCTGTCTGAATATTTAAACCCTAAAAAATGCCCTAATAATGTCTACTGTTTAGATTAAAATATAATGAGGTGGAGGCTTCAATATGAATATCAATACTGGAACAAATCACAAATAATAAGAAACCAACATCCTGCATTTCATTAATAACCAATAATTTAAAAAAAGTAAGTCATCATTCTTGCTTTACAAAACATGAATACAAAGCTTTTACCAGCTTCTATGTACATAAATAAATATAAATAGTGAAAATAGAAATTTAAACGATTTAAATACATCTTGAATTCACCATGAAATATTGGTATACTCCCAATTAATTTAATTTATGATTGAGATCATGAACCGATTGATGTTAGACCAACATTGAAAACTTAGAAACACCGGACGGCCGTTTCGTCCTATTGTGGGACTCCTCAGCAGTGGGCATCCACGATCCCGCTGGCGCGATTCAAACACAGGGCCTTCAGTCTCACGCGCGAACGCTTAATCTACTGGACCACTGAGCCGGCATCCAATGGTGTTAATGTCTAACCTCAATCAATTCAGGAAATTGCACAACCATCTTCCATTGTACTGAGGTAGACACCTGTTTCTACCCGACACGGATTAGCTCCACTGGTCACGGCTTCTCACCAGATGGTCGCGAATTTTCGTGGATTGGTTGGGGTTAGACATTAACACCGTTGGATACCAGCCCAAGGGTCCAGTAGGTTAAGCGTTCGCGCGTGAAACTGAAGGCCCTGAGTTCGAATCCCGCGAGCGGGATCGTGGACGCCCACTGCTGAGGATTCCCACAATAGGACGAAACAGCTGTCCAATGCTTCCAGGTTTTCAATGTTGGTCTAACATCAATCGGTTCATGATCTCAATCAAAAACTTAACAATCTCCACAACCCCTAAACTGATAATTCAATTTAGTTTGAAATGATTACGCAACAATTGTGTGTAAGTGTGTGTATTAATTCATTTCTAAATAATAGTTCAAATATACAATTCACTTGAGGAAATATGTATAAAAATTATATACGTATACATTTAACAAAATACAATCTCTGTATTTTATATTAACAAACATAATTAATACTTATTATTATTACAAATACTATTACTATTATTATTATTATTATTATTATTATTATTATTATTATTAAGTGTCAATTAAACACATAGTAAACATTAATCTTTTCATAAGTAAGTAAGTCGACTTTATAGATGACGTTTAATATGACATCACACTAATTGTATATAATTTCATTTCATTTATCGTTACACAAATGCACATAGATACACACACACACACAAACACATTCACAAGTACTATATGTATGAGTATCCATTTATTAAAATTAAAAAAACTTAAAAAAAACAACGTTGTTGTGATTGATCATTCTCTTACATAATTCAGAATTAAACGGTTCAAGTTGTTCTTTTTCTTTTTGGAATTTTTTTCTCCTTTAAAAATAAATTATGAATGAAGTTTCAAATAAATTGAGCATTGGGTAGATTGTTAAGTTGGTTATGTATTCTCTGAAGAAGTGACTTACACTAAGTTACGAAACGTCAGAAAATCTAATTTTCTACTCATTGGGATATTACAAAGATATTATTTATTTATAAATGAAGTTATTTCATTTAATATAAATTTAACTATTCTCTCGTTTCATTTTTCTCTTCCCTTGATATCCATAACTAACTTGTTATTACAATGTACATCGATGTTTAAGCTTAAACCCAAAGTTTGTATAACTAAACCATTGCTACTAATAGTATATATTTTTTTAATTGTTATTTTTGGAGATTAGATTGGAAGTGTTATTTGTCCTGTTGTTTTGAGTAGCTCTTTTTTTACAAGTAAAATAAAAATATACATCCCATTATATGTTAGATGGTCGGAAGCAGTAGAGAGATAATCCTGAATCTAGGTTTCAGCATGGTGTACCTTTAGACTGGTGCTCCCTGATGGATTCGATTTTGTGTTACTCAGCTTTATAGTCTAAAGCATTACCACTGAGTTATTCGAGTCGTAACTAACCTTCTGTATTACTCAGATATTTACAATTGTTTGACCACTGAGTAGTGACCAATCAGTCATGTTTTTCACGTCCTCCTATTACTGATTGAATTCTATAGGTCAAATTACAATATGCCCACTGGTTCAAGTAACTTGACATTTAGTCCACTCAGTTTATATGTTACGTGATTGACTAAAAAACCTCAGACCTAGGTTTCGCGCTAGTTGTCAACAAGGCATAACCTTATAATGAATGCTAACTAACTAGAAACCAGAATCATAGGTATCCTGATGACTAGCTCCAACCACGTCTAACGTCTAAACATCATTCAGAATTGAATATTGAAAACAGCATAAGTATAAATCCCAAATTATACATTCGGATCATACAAATAATCAAGTTAAAAAATACAGGGAGGAAGAAAATGAAACCTGTGCGTTAATTTATATATTATCTTAATTGATTACACGATAAATATATGTGATTCTATTTATAAATGTTGAATACATAAAATTATTGTATTTTTATAAACCTATCATAATAATTAAGCTCGTCTGTTTCCTGATCCGATCATTATGAACCATGGACTTGAGGAAACCCTACAGGGAAAAAAACATAAGGAAGATAAAAAAAATCAGTAAAAGTAATCGACATCAAAAATCCATTTTGATAATATCATTTAAATTGAACACTGAACATAGCGTCTAGTATATTTCCAATATTCCCGGTGGATAATGGAGAATATTTGTATCCGAAAGTGAGGATTCTAGATGTTTGTATTCTTTGTGGGGCTTCTACCGTCTTTCTATACAATATCATATATATCTCATAAAGTAAGCTATTACAATTCTCTGCTCGATGACTTAGATGTTAATTGGCTGTTATCTGTGGTCATACGACTGTTGTTCGGAGTGTCTTCTTCCCTGACCTGATCACTGAACTTATTGACCTGTTTTTCTAACTAGCTGATATACTGAGCTGATTTCTATTTGTATATTTATTCATGCATGAATGAAGTAAATGACTGTCACACAAATTCGGACAACAACCACTTAAATTCCAGATGAAAACGACAAGAAGTTAGTCAAACATGAAAAAATCCTGATAACTCACTTCTTTCTGAAGTATATGCCAAAGATGTTGTTTAGATAGACAATGAAAGCCTCACAAATAAACAATCTAGCTCAAAGAATACAACATCTCCAAAACTTTAGCGAATACAGGGACGTTTCACCACTTCAGTGCGATTTTATTTCAGCAGACAATAAATATCTTTAATAGTTGAATTCACAAGTCAATCTAAGCTAGAACACAATTGAAAGTCTGGAAGCACTGGACGGCCGTTTCGTCCTGGTATGGAACTCCTCACCAGTGCGTACCCACGATCTCTCACGTGGGACTCTAACCCAGGGCTATCGGTCTCGCATGCGGTGCTCACTATTGACTAGCTTCAAGATGGATTTCCTGGTATTCCAGTGAAAAGCCGTGACCACTGGAGTCCAATACGTGTCGAGTGGAGACATTTATCGACCTCAGACAATGAGTAAAAAGTTGCGCAAGATCATGGATCGATTGAAGTTAGACATCAACGCAATTGAATATCGACTCACTGGTCTGAAGGTTAAGCGTTCGTGCAGAAAATCGAAGGTCCTGGGTTCGAGTCCCGCGCGCGGGATCGTGGATGCGCACTGTTGAGGAGTTCTATACTAGAACTTCCAGGTTTTCAATGGTGTTCTAACTTAGATTGACTCATGAATTCAACTATTCAAATTATTACAATCTCCACAAATTCCCATTCTGAGAATAAATGACTACTATAAATTAACATCTGTTTAAGTAAAAAAAGGAATAAATTAGTGAATGCCAAAATTGGACTTATTTATATTTACAAACTAATTGATTTGGTTTATTTTTTTAGTTACACAATCGTATGCCACCTTGAAACAAAATTACTGTTTACGGAAGCAAATTAAATCAAGTCAGTAAACACCACACGTATGTACGTCTCTACTCAATGAAGAGAGATTAAAAGAGGAAAAAAATTGTATCATTAATACCTACTAAACTAAGCTACCTTGTAATAAAATTGAGCCTTAAAGAGTAAGCTGGAACAATTTAAATATAATTTGACAGTACTATAAAGTTTGTCAAAATGGATTTAATATTATCACTAACAGTACAAAGGATGGTAAACGGTCCAAGTTTCATAATATTTTAATACATTAGGATTACGTTTTGTATAATAGCTAGAAGTGGAATCCAGAAAGCGCATTTATCAGTATTTAAGACTCATTGGATTTACCTAGAACCCAAAGTTAAAATTCTCAGTGAAACTAGAACACAATACGTATCATTAAATAACACAGTATCATTCACTAAGTTACTAGGTTACCATAGCTACAACTGAAGATGATAAAGGTTTACATATAATAGAAGCCCAGTTAACTCTACTCGTTGATTGATCGAAAATGATTCAGTGTATATTCTATAGAAATGTAGCGTTTAGTGAAACAGTTTCGTCATTGAAAATCGGTACACTGAATAATCAGAAGGGATAGAGGGAGATTAGCAACTAAAACTATATAAATAATGAGATAGGATATATATCCGTGAATTTATGGGGCATCTATTTTTCAATGTTCAATTCGTATGCAATATTTATTATTTCTCCGTTCATTTAGTGAGTGAATGCTACATAAAAAATTATAATTTTCACCGAGGGTTTCCTATTAATCCCTAGCTTCCACTTTATTTGCTTTGTTCACCCGACAACTTGGGATGCGCTACCGTATTGTGTCTACAGAAGACACATGTCAACAGCTTTAGATGACTGAGATGAAACCCCAAGTGAGAAGCAGTCTCTTATATGCAACACTGTCATGAAAAGTGCTAAAGAATGCTGAGTTTCATATTTTTATTAAGCATTGAGAAATACATGATAGTTCTGACACTTTACAGTACGATAAATCTTTACCCTTTGAGATTGGTATAAAACTATTTCCTATTAAGTCTCCAACCACTTTTGTTTCAGTTGTTCAACATTAGCAAAACATGCTAGTTGATACAATGTATAATAATCTAATAAAACAATTTATCTTCAACGTCCAAAAATATTACCATTATTTATTTGATCCTTCTAAAGCTTAGAATTGTGCTATTGAGAAACTGTTAACTTAGATAAAATAGTTGTGTGACACTAGTTTTTTTGATAGTCCTTTAGTTAGAACTAATGTGTGGTGAAAATTATCTGTACAATTCAAATGCTTCATTTAAACATACCATGATCAGAATTGAGTGAAATAATAGCAGGTTAATTAGTTCATATTTAACAGTAAAAACATAATAAGTGATACTTAATACTTTGCTTTAACATAAATTACCGATATAATAATCATTGTCATAGTTATAGTGTTATAAAACCGAAATAAGTACCAAAGTACACTTTTTTTTTATAAAAAAAAACATATTCATTCTTGTTATCCAGTATTCATTGAAGTACACTTATTCCAGAGTATACACAACTCACCCACATAATTTAAATCTATGTATTTATACAACAAGAACTAAATGACCATATAAGAAGGAATATAAAAGAATTAATTATTTACTTTAAATACAATGTACATAATTTAGTGTCAACATATATTTAGAATTAGATCATTGATACAAAGTGAATAATAATCATTATTATAATTGAACCTAACAACTAAAAGGCAATAATATAAATATTTATTGAATATGTATACATGCCAACAGAGATCAAGCAACTGCAGTCCTAAATACAAACATCTAGAAATGGCTATATGAGCTCATTAGCTTAGACGATAATGCATTAGTATTTGAAGAGATAAGAATTAGGTTCAAGTATCAGCAGCAGTGGGTCTCAATATACACAAAAGGAAAAGCAGGATTCTCTGATACAACACAGCATGCACCAATCTAATCACAATTGACGGAGAAGATTTGGAAGATGTAAAAACCTTTACGTATTTGGGCAGCATCATTGATGAACAGGGTGGATCTGATGCAGATGTGAAGGCGCGGATCGGCAAAGCAAGAGCAGTGTATTTACAACTGAGGAACATCTGGAACTCAAAGCAACTGTCAACCAACACCAAGGTCAGGATTTTCAATACAAATGTCAAGACAGTTCAACTGTATGGGGCAGAAACCTGGAGAACTACGAAAGCCATCAGCCAGAAGATACAGGTGTTTATTAACAATTGTCTACGCAAAATACTTCAGATCCATTGGCCGGACACTATTGGCAACAACGTACTGTGGAAGAGAACAAACCAGATCCCAGCGGAGAAAGAAATCAGGAGGAAGCGCTGGAAGTGGATAGGACACACATTGAGGAAAGCACCCAACTGCGTCACAAGACAAGCCCTCACCTGGAATCCTCAAGGCCAAAGGAGGAGAGGAAGACCAAAGAACACATTACGCCGAGAAATGGAGATACACATGAGAAAAATGAACAAGAATTGGATGGAACTCTAAAAGAAGGCCCAGGACAGAGTGGGTTGGAGAATGCTGGTCAGCGGCCTATGCTCCATTGGGAGTAACAGGCGTAAGTAAGTAAAGTAAGTATCAATATAAGTATTGACAAACAGCTGACAATTCCTAAAAACAGAGCAAAATGAGTTGATCATTCCTAGATACAATTCAAATATTACTGAGGATTGTATTCAGTGGTACTGAAAAGTTAAGAATTACAAAAAAAAGTTAAACTTATTCATACTAATTTACCTATCTCTTTTATTAATAAGTGATCTGTTGCCAAAGATGTGAATAAACCATATAGATTAAATTCTGAGTGAAATAGATATGTTTTAGCACATTTATGCATCACTAATTTCGGCGGTAATCTATTTAATGAAGTAAATACTGTAGGTAAATATTAGTTTTAAAAAATACATCTTATAAATATATTATCTGAAGATATCTGGACTATATATATTTAACAATCGGTAATATTCATGCAATAGGTCTCCTTCACAAATTTAAACAAAGCAAAAACGAATATATGATATATCTTCACTTTTTACATTTGAAATGAACGGTCAAGATCATTAACCAATATTCACAAATTACATCTAAACCACAAATACAACTTGAATAGTTACTGAGACTATACTTTAAAAATGTTCAGTTTCAATTTAACAACAAATTACACTGCCAAACATATTGCGTGATGATGGACAGTCGTTCAGGACCCATTCTTGTCAACATATATGTTGGAAATTCGGAAAGAACAAAATTACTCCGCCCGTTAGTGAGTTAACTATGTTAACTGCTCTTTCATTCAATTTAGTTATTATCACAGATCATACAAAAGCCGACATATTCTTTGTTTCATTTACTCCTTCTACTTGACTATAATAGAACAGAAAAAGGTTAGCTGTGTGAAAATTCTTCTTTTCAGCCTGTTATGTTGTCAACCTAATACTCTTTTATTTACTAATGGTTATGTGTTTTAGATTTTTCCTTCCATAAAATTAAGCACTGCTATTGTGGTGTGTGTTAATTATACGGACAGATGTAAGTGGTATGTATCAAGAATTAGCAGTAGGATTCTTACTCACAGAAGAGGAACATGAGAAGGAAAGAAAAAAAGAAAAGCATTCCAAGTTGGAACAGGGATAAAAGAAAGATAGGGCTTATAGGACACAATTCAAGAAAGATTCGCAACTGAAGCATTCAATGTATTGTTTTCATATTTTACAAATGTGGCACGTAATTTGCTTAATACAATAAATCGGTTTACCATCTCCAAGTCTTCGTCCATTACATTATGATTGATTTAATGAGCATCACTGATAATTTGTGATTGCCCAGATGGTCGTACCTAATAACATAATATTAAATTACCAACAAAAGTGTTTCGGTAAATCGGTTCAAAATTTATTTAGAACTATACAGCTTAAATAATGCAATACCTTGAAAAAAGAATGGACATGTAAATTCAAACCTGAAATCTATTTTAATATTTACTCAAGCTATATACTATCTGTCATAACACAAATAAACCAGTTGAACAAATTCCAACTTATTTACAAAGTACATGATCTGATTTAACACTTATCATGATAATGATTAACTATTTAATAGCTTAATTCTTGTGTCAACATGGTGTTTTTCTTTTCAGGAACTACCTACCATGAGCTTTGACCTCTTGTATAAACATTGAATCCTAAACAACAATGATATGGTAATTTCTACCCACTAAACCAAACTGATATGAACACCATTAATGATATTTATTTATTACTTAAAGGGATTCAAGTTCACTTCCATAATAATTTAGATAATATCCCATTTGAACTACTACTTATATAAATAAGTAATATATAAAACAGTCAACTTACAATAAAGTTGATTCTTTATACAACCCACGTGTAAAATTAAGAAATTCTATTGAGTCCACATATTTATTTGGTAAGTCAACTAATATGTTCATCTTAAAACAACATTCAGATGCCACTGATTTATGTGAACATTTACCGTCTCCATTGGAAATGTCTATATGAAGTATGAAAAAACATTAAAAGCTATTAAACGTAATTGTTTAATATAATAATTACAATGTCTACTAACTGAATTTTAAAAAAAACTGACCAACAACTACCAAAAAGCTGCAGAATGAAAAAGCAAATACTTATATTACATGATAGAAAACAATTATCAGAATGCCACGCTTGAATAAATTTTCGAGCTAACTAACACTCGTTAACAAAGCAGTTTTGTGTAAAAACTGACAAAGTCTATGGAATCTAAACCCACTTCACTTAGTGCCACAATCAAATACATTACTTGTAAGCTATTCAAGTGACGATTGATCTTTATTTGTCTACTGTTGGCTCTTCAATTGATATCAGTTTCAAGGTAAAGTTATCTTTGAGTAATAATTATTATTATTGTTACTATTTTGGTGACCCTATATCTGACTCCAGTTAGATCGTATGCTGATTGTTATCAAAATACACATACCGCCAACCCTCATATACAATTATCGAATTGATCTGTGTTAGAGAATAACGGAATAAAATAAGACAAATATAAGAATGAATTTTGAATACATCTATTTCATACACTTATTCACCCAGACAAACAATCAGTGAAACAAGGTGAAGCAAGCATAAGGAAACGAAACAAAGTAATGCACAGCGGAGAAGGCAAGATAGTCAGCTTGTTTTGATCAAGAGTGGCTCGATATCTACATTCAGACAAAATTAAGTTACAAACATGTAATGAATAGTGCGAGCAATTACTTCAGTCAGGGTTAATAAAAGAATAATCAACAAGGTCGAAATGTGACTTGAGAAAAACGAATTAATTGGTCTGCCCAGGAGCTGGTATAATCTATGTGGGCTCGATATAGTACTAAACACTACGTTATTATTGTTATTATCATAAAGACCAATCCAAATTACCTGATTCACCGACTAACTCGGATTGACCCTTTTGTTTATTAGACAACACAACTGACTCAGTTTTAGTAAGTTCACTAATTAAAGCATTTACAAATTCTACAATAATTTAAGAAAATAAAATGAAAACGATGAAACATAACTTCAAAGTAGAAATGAAATTGAAATACACAAAACAAATCTTTGTAAGGGTAAACTATTGTAGAGTTGTGTACTATATTCAAAGTTCTACAAAAAATTTCATTATTATGATTGTTATTATTCAGTTATTTGTAAATTACTTTTGACACTGAGAGAGTATTTCACCAGGAAAATCGAAACAAAATAATTGGACAATTGTGTAAAATTCTTCAATAGTGAAATCTAAAGAGTAAAAATGTAAGACAGAAATTTGTCCTAAAACATTACCTTTATCTTTCAGTGGCATGAAAGCATTCCATAAATTAAATAAAAATGTTATACGATTATAGGGAATAGCTGATATATATTTAAATTCTCTATGAATAGTATGTGTCCCATTTACAACATGTTCAAAACTACAAAATAATAACATGCTATTAAAAGTAAACCTGCTAAAATATACTATTTTGATAGGAATAGTTTAACATTTACTGGATCTTCAGATTCTTTAATATGTAAAAGTTGATTGATGATGTCTTGTAAATACACATTTAAATCATTTGTAGCTGGTTTATAAAATCGAATATATTTCATGTAAACAATACAAAAAACATACAAAATCGATGGATTGGTAAATCGTCAAGAAATAGATTAGAAAACTTTGATAATGACATAATTTGATATTGGATCAATTCACTGTAGAATTTAAAGAAAAAACAGATAAAATATATATATAGGAGTCCTTTGCTTTTCGAAAAGCTAAGATAAATGAAACGACTATCTTCAGTAAATATTAGGGTGTATTCTACTCTGTTTACAGCGGCTTCTATTTGTATGATAGAAATTTCATAATTACATCAACAAATTAAGCAATAACCTCCCTTAAAATAATGGAAAGTACTGATTACAAAACATAAAATCATGGATCACTCAAAGTTAGACATTAACACCGTTAGATACCAGCTCAGTGGTCTAGAGGTTAAGCGTTCGTGCGCTGGATCGAGGGTTATGAGTTCAAATCCAACGTGAGGGTTTGTGGATGTGTACTGGTGAGGAGTCCCATACTAGAACGAAACTGCCATCCAGGTCTTTAATGGTGGTCATGCTCCTACCAATCTATGGATTTACCTATTAAAATAAATAGTAAGGTTTAAAATTTACTTAATAGGTTTAGATATGTCAAGAATCTACTGAGATGATTTTTGGGAATTTTTTGATTCAAAAAGTTATTCTGATCATAAAAGGTGTCGATATAAAAACCTCCGAAGGCCAAGGAGTAGTGGGTAGCTGGATTTTCATGAGTTGGTACACATCTACAGCGTGCTTATATTCACTATTTCTTATATACAAACATTAAAATCTATTACTACCCATTCTTTTGTTATCCAAGTTATCACAAGCTTTCATTCATATTTTTTCTCTTAATCCTTCGAACCAATGTACTGTTTTTCCAAGGCTTTACAGCATTCAATTCGGTTGCCCATACAGATATCAGTAACACGCAGTCTGGCATAAACGTGTGTTGGCCCGATTTCCCGGAACTTTATTAGCATATTGATATAAAAATAACAAAAGATCTCGAAATAATGTAGTAGCAATGCTAAAATAAAGACGAAACCTTGAGAGCATTATTTGGAAAGACAGATTGGAAAGGTATGCATGAATGAATATTGAGGTCCAAGATCAACAGTGTAGGGCCAGCGAAATGTCACTGAGCCCTAGCCAAATCATACGGCAGTTGGGTCATTGAATATCCAGCAAATCATCGATCCTCGTCAAGGTCAGGGACAACCAACGCGCATCAGTTAGTCGTATGCCGTGAACTGGCCCATGCGGCAGTAGTCTTACTTTCGCTTGTATCCACTTTAACTAATATATTTTTGTAATAACGTCCTCTGTGTTGTACAGTCTTCAAAGCATCTATGGTACCTTGATACGTCAATAGGGTAGTCCAAGTAAAGCGCTGACCAAGAGGTGTGACTTCGACGTTAGCTAGTTTGTCACACCATTCACGTCTAACTCGAGTAGGCCTCCAATCATTTTCGACATAGATCATCTATGTTGGTGATCTACAACAGGAAAATAGGGAGTGAATGCATCTGAATAGGTTTGAATGGTTCTGGGCCATGTCACCCAAGGTCTCACTGGTCTGTTATCATACCGACCCGAATTAGGTCGTCCACATCTATTAATATGGCTTAATCTAATAGTTAATGACTTCATAGACTGATTCCATGTTTGATTTAGTCGTCTCTAGTTTTTGTTCAACCTATCTCTGCATCAACAACCATCTTTTATTAACGTATGTGGCAGATAGCAATACGTAACACATGTCTTATCCACCTCAGTTGGTGAAGATTTACTATCTTAAGTATCCTTCGCCAAAGATCAAAATTACTTACTCGGTCAGTCCACGAAATACGTGCGAAGCTTAGAAGACACCCATGATCAAAATAACGTAGTCTTTACAATGCCAAAAATATTGAATGTTCTAAAGAGTCTGTTGAATCGTGGAAATGTTTGAAAGATTTTCTTAAAGTCATTTAACCAAGTATATGTGTTCTTCACTTGAGCCCTCTTTCCGAGAGTTAATTACAACAATAAACAGATTTCAACAAGTAGAAATTTTGTTTGTTTTTAGTTCCATGACTCTCTATGATATATATATATATATATATATATATATATATATATATATATATATATATATATATATAGAGAGAGAGAGAGAGAGAGAGAGAGAGAGATTCTGCCTTAGTTACTGCATGAATTAGAAAACCCTTTAACTTTTGCATAACCAATTTATTATAAGTCTTTACACCGCTCCTTTGATGCCAAAGATAACCCCCGTTAAATTTATTTCCAAAATATTTTTTTAGAAGATTCAATGTTTCTTATTGTGCATACGTTGATCATCAATACACTTAAGTCTCACTCACTCAGTCAAATAAACTTTAAATGTGTCTCGTATTTACATACACGTGTGTTTAAAGTTAACTAATTTGCAGTACATTTTAAGTTATTTGTATCGAATTCAAGTACAAACACAATAATACATGTGCATTTTCACTGCGTTTTTACGGTGAAGAAAGGAAATTTCACGATGTTTTCAACATCAATAGTTACTTATCAACCTCCCGAAAGTATAAAAACATAAAAAACTTACTACCTTGCAACTGCAACAAAAAACAGAAAGTTAAAATACCGGCTGTGCGTTCAACCTAGACAAATAACTAACATTGATACATTTCAACAAATTTCAAATGTGCGAGTCAACTTTCAAACAAAATCCCGAGTTGAAATCGAGGAAATTTATCTCATATTCAAACTAACTCATTTGTTTAATAACCACGAAAGTCGAGTGTTTTATGCACCTGATTAACGCTCATTTGTCTTACCCATCTATTGTAACAGAAAGAATACGCTGAAAACCCTACCAGAGTGTTTTGTTGAATAGTATTGCTATTGTTTTGTTCGTTAGCTTGTCTTATGTTTTAAGTATTACTCAAGTCTTTTTTAACCACATTTTTTTGGTCTTCCACTGAACGTTTTACCCTTATTACTTAATTTTAATATTGATTGTTGCCGGTTTCGTATTTGGCTAAATTTAACGCCGGGGTGTTGCTCACCTGATTGTTGACCTTTAAACATCCACTGGGTAAGGTTGCTTTAATCTGTACAAAATACATTTATTGATTCCTAGTTACTGAACACTTATTTAATAACTATTATTTCTGGAGTTTATAGTGTTATTTTGTGTTAGAGAAATCTTAGACTGTATGGCATAGACTTAAAGATGGTAAATGTACTCTGAGTTTGACAACACCTATATATTCGTAGTTTATCAAAACAGTCAAATCAGAAGTCAGAAATGAAGTCGTTGGACGATATATCTTGAGGACTATTGATACATCAATAAGCGTTTGGCCTGAACTGGATGAGAGTTGTGAGAGATGCATAGCACAACGTACCCACTCATGATCTGGTGTGGATGCGTTCCCACTCGTGGTCTGGTCGATATTCAGTGAACCGAATCCCAAATGATTTGGCTAGGGCCCAGCGATATTTCACTGGCCCCACAGCACCTACATCCTATAACCCTATTGTATCCGTTAGAGTATAAGTATTACTAGTAGGGACATAACGTAAATCGTATAAAGATGAGTTGGGTAACATTATGGTCTCATTTTATGGATTCAAATCAACTTCATCGTACGTGAAATTCACTGTTGTCAAAGTGAAGTTATATACATTACACAAAGTAACTTGTAGCTTAACAGGCAACATTATTTTACTACCCGCAGAACACTGATATATAACAGCATTTAGATGTTTAAGGAGCAAATAAAAACCGAAGAACCTAAATTAGTACAAATGGCTGATCACATAAAGTTTCTCAAACGATGTGGAAAATTAAAACACTTGGTGACTATGTTTTCTGTTGTCAAAGTCAACAACTGACATGCTCATGGCTGATTGGACATTTGCATAGTTCGGAAGATACTGGAAATCGTTCTGTCTGGATTAACAAAACAAGAATGAATATAGTGAATGAGCGACTGCATTAGTACAAAGATTCGAAACGATTGTAGAATTACTCATCAGGTTGGCACACGATGACCAAGCCACTGATATTTCTTAATGATCGCCGATACTGGAAGAGCTTTCGTTACTTCTTAATTTTCTTTTCCCGCCCTCTTCAATCCAGAGTTCCTTCGTAACAAATTGAGTATCCTTTGCAGCAAGTTGGTCTTGCCTGTATACTGGTATGCCTCATGTAACTAATTGCTAATGGAGAATAAATTATTATTATCATGAGCAACTAGGATGAAATTACTGCTTCCAAGTGAACTGAAAGGGAGACATTCAAACCTCCAAATAGTAACAGTCCTACTCAACAATACAGTTTTTCTGAAGTCTGACTACATGCAATCCATTGGTTAAGAATAAGACATTCCGTTAGGAAAGCGAAAGACCATGAGCCTTAGTGTGCACTATTGAAATACGAACAAATGGGCTTAAAATATACAAAACATATACTGATTTATTTTGACACTAGTTGAAATGTCACTTCATATAATTGTAGTTTTATTTTCTTGGGTTTTCATTGAATTCTCACGTTTATTCCGGACTACATCTACGTTGATTGAACTAATTTTTGGCTATGGCAGCTGCCATACTGATAAACTCCACTTTTTGATCAAGTTGCATGAAATGATTGTGCATTTTTGATTGTGAATTGAAGCACTCCTCTAGAACTGAAGACATTCAGCGTCATAACGAAATTGAATATTAACTTACGGACAGTCTGTGGGTGGTTTATCCAAGGAGGATGGATCAAAATTTCGGTATTGATAGGAAAACTTATTTTTGCTCTTGATAATTATATCCTATATCATCTTACCTACTTGACGTTATTTAGATTTGACTACTGACTGAACAATTAGCTGGTTGGTAATGTTTGTTTGGGAAATAAGTTAAATTTATAACAAAATCTAGAGCCGTCACTTGTCCAATCTTTTTGTTTTCGTTTAAAATATGCGACAGTGTATACCTGGACTTAAACAAACAATCATTGTTACGATTGTTATTATTCAAAAACAGCTTATTGATTCAAAAATATTGTGGAAAAATCATTTCGGTCTTTCTCAGAAATACAGTTACACACCGGTTTCAATAATGTTTACATAATGTTCGCAATATTTATATGGACTCTACAGTATATTGATTTGAACTTAAAGAATAATGAGAGGAAATAAAAATAAAATGTGTAATTAATTTATTAAGTACGTTTTTGAAACAGTATAATGATATATGGAAATATATGTATTACAAAAATAATTAGAAGTAACTCAGCAATATAGTTAGTTTGGACGAAAGAATAAGTTTACGTAGTAGTAGGTTAGGAGTATGCGACAAAAGAACGATCGTCAAGTAATTGAATTTGTTAGTCATACTTACATGTTAGATGTAAAATGAATCTGAAAAGTCAACTTATTCAAGTGGAGTACAAGATGCTATCTTTCTATTTTGAAACTCTGAATGTATAGGGATAAACTTTGTGTGGATGGAGATGAGAAAGAGGAAAAGAATATATAATGTGTCAGCATATCAAACATTGCAATGATAATAAATATAATCAGAAGCGGATCTTAAATATCTACATGAAAAATAAAAAAACAGACGGTTTTTGAAAGGTTCTACTTTAGGACTATTATCCGGTTCAATACTAGTACATTTATCTTTGCTACAATAATAATAATACTAATCCAAAAATTGTGAGCTTGTCAAGATATAACTACATAAGCCATAATATTTTACATGGAAATCCCATCACTTTCCTCACTAACTCGTTCGATCGTGACTACTAGTATTTTGATATCTAGTTATGAAGGGTAATCACACCTGCATGAATGAGCCATGTCATTTCGATTATAGTCGCCACGTTCATCATTAATGACCTGTTCATTGTGTTATATGTTGAATGTAAACTTTCTCAATAGCTACACCCTTGACTTCAAAGATTGCGCGGTTGGGAAGCAATACCACTAAGCCCTACTAGTTATATTCGTAGTGCAACGACAGAAATATATTTATCCATTTTGAATGCGGAACTAACGAACCAATATTCATGTGATTAAACCAGTCCACGACCCTCTGTATAGCATACGAAGCGTCTTTCAGTGGCCCGTATTAGATGATTTCAACCACAAACACTGTGTTTAAATTTAAACGGTTCTAATTCAGGAAAGAGAATAAATTATATCAGTAATAAAAAATACCTCAAACGGTACAGTCAAGGGTTCCGCTAACACAAACTAACGTGCTAAACAGCAAAAGCAGTGGTTAATAAACAAGAGTTCGATACCTGAGAATCAATAAAAATATTCTTAACAATATGGGATCAGATATCCATGTGAAGATATTCCAGCAACCTTTCCAAGAAGACGGTCAAAGGATAACAGTCATACCTGAACCACGCTATAATGTTGAGTTTAGTTAAATACGACTTTATTCTCAATAGTCCGGCAACATGCAACACAAAAATTAAGTAACAATATGTAAGTCTTTAACCAGTCATATAATAGGAGCTCAGATGAAAAGACTAAAGAAAATGATGTGCGGTTAAAGGAGAATTGAACAAAGGTTATAGTACAAGACAGAGAAAATAAACAAATATATCATTATATTAATATCAATATTATATTAAATAAATGACAGTACTGCCTAATAAAATGTTGTGGATGGATTGTCAGTGTATTCTTTCCGTTACACATGGGCGTAAAGTAGAAACATTCCAAGCGAACGATTTGGCTATGTTCTGCTACAAGTGAGCTAGACAAATGGAAATGAGGATCCCAAGTGCCAAATGACGACAATTTTCGAAGATAAAAGTTTTGTGGGACACTGTCGGACGTCTTACCAAAACCGAATTATAGACTATCACTGATTTGTAGCGTGGCGTCGAGTTGAGATTAACTATGAACACCGCTACAGAGAAAGACGTGCCAAATAATCCATAAAATCCCCCCGAAGCTTAATATCAGAAGGCGGTTGATGGACCAAGTCGAGATATATTTGCTGGCGATCTCGTGGTATCGAAAGAAAACCGAGATCGGGCCAGGATACAAGCTTGGTTACAGAACGTAACCGAATTCGCGCGAAGTCACAACCAAAGTGTGTGAATAATGAATGCTTTTTAGCACAGTTAAACAAAAGCACATTAAAACAGTCACTGGTACAGTCGGCTATGACAATAATTGTTTTTATTAAACCAGTCGTGTTCTCGTGATAAATGTGAGTCACTACAGATTTGCCTACATGTCTTCTCTAGTTAGTTTGATCTAAATATTCCAAGTGCAACATGGAGAATGTGCGTTTAGCGATGAATTCATGTTAAGAATGACAAATAGGGTTTTCCGAAAGTGAAAAATGCTGAAAGCTTCGTACGGACGATGTTTTGTGATAGATGATAGCACGTATGTTAAGCTTATATCTAATAATGTTCCTACGTGATTCCGTTTCGAATCCAGGGTTGATAAGCGATGTTTTCCATGGATAGGCTGAACAGTTTTAAGAGAATAGTGGAAACACTCTACTATCGCACTTCACGAATGATGCAGGGATCCCACCAGTTCCAACCTCATTAGTAATTTTCAGGGCAGTTATGGTCTGTTCGATTTCGGTGGGTGCAAAATAAATTGTAGATGATGCCTGGATATCATCATTGCAAGAGTGGTAGAGCTTAAGGTTTCTGTGTTGCAACATCGTCAGAAACAGCGGTTTAAATGTCCACAACTAATGTGAAGGTCATCCACAATGTTTCCGTTAATAATAAAGAATCTGGTTGTCTAAAGGAAATCCGATTTCGCGCTTGATAAGAAAAGCCGAAATCTTAATAGGGCCGAGAATTTACCACCTAAAGCTTTATTCCCTCTAGCCAAAAGATACTTCGTTGAGACGAATGATTTTTGTCAATCGGGTTAAGTACGCTCTAAAGCGCATACAATTCATGGTGCTTGTCAATGGGACTCTCGCTATGCAAAATGCAGTTGAATATGCTTTCGGCCGATAAAATATCCGAGAAACGCCATGTGCAATGTACAGACATATCACCTTTTGAAAATAGCGTTGTACAGTTTAAACATCCTCCAAACACAGATTCACTTTCATTTTCCTTCACACTTATTCTCGAAACTACTTTGATGGGTTTTATTTTGGTAGTGAAACCATTTTAAAAAGAAAATACTTTAGGTTTGTGTACGTCAACAGTCAAGTTCGCAGCTTTCATCTGCATAAATTACGACCATTATTTCTATAATTCTTACAAGAGATATTATGATAATTACAAGTATTTGAATTATAGTACAAACTAAGAATCCCAGGAATAACGCAATTCAACCAAGAAGTATTGGGTGAACACAAACAAACGTATTGTATTTGGTATTCAAAATCAAGCATTCAACATGTACAAACGAATCATTAGTTCAATCAAACACCACATCCGCCATAGTTTAAATGAGAATCCAAATTTCTTCGATCAGTTTTGCCTTTTCTTCGTAGGTTCATCGTGTCTGTCCGACCGCTTATTGGATGTAGACTCTGTATGATCCAGAATATGTTCATCGCTGGGTCCTGAGATTATGTATGATCACCATGTCAGTTGTGTACCGAAACCACTTATATCTAGGATTTGAACTACCGATTTTCTAACACTATCCTCCCACATGAAGTAATGTTGAATCTTCATATCCCCAAATTATGAATGATCTGGCTTCATTTGAAACATGTTTCTCACATTGAATAGAGTATACATTTGAAGTGACTTCTTGATAACAATTTACAGCAGTTGATATGAAATAATCGGAATTGTAATCAAACTCGAGCTCATTTAGTACTTGTGCTTCGCACCGAACAAGTTTCCCATAAGAAACAATTGCATTATGAAGACAAATAATATTTGATATGACATCAGGATTCGATTCTTCTGAAATGCGTTCTCCAAATTTGTTATGAATGTCATTGCAGAGTAAAACATCATTTGAAAAATCAGCATCTATTAAAACTACATCAGGTTTTCGGTCATTATTAGGTTCACTCAACATATTTTCCTTAGATTTGTAAGGGATTTCATCAGAAATGTGTGAATCATTAGAATAAACCATATCTAGTATAATAACATAAGAAATGTGATAACTTGATTGATTAGAAACTGTTGTCTCACAAGGACTCTCGGTTTCATTTAACTGTGGTCTGCTATGTAACTCTATACCACTTTCAAAGTCATGGATAAAGATAAGTGATCGTTACAAACACCCAACTTGATAGGATCACAACTACAAATTTTCACATTAGTTGCAGAGAAATGAACTTTAGTAGTACAAACTGACTGAATGTGTTCATTCTCACCACATTTAAAGCACTTAGAATTACGAAACACACATGGATTAAATGAGAAAAATCTGCTACAGGACAAAAATTGACCGGAATTGTACCCATCTTCGTTAACTGCGACGCGACTCCTCAATGAATTATCTGCATAACGTTGAGTACGCACTTGATTTGGATGAAGTAGTAGTGTAGTGGAATTTTCAATGCCCTGATTAATAATTCTACGAACTCTTCCTATTCTACCGCATTCGAAATCTGCATAGTCTAGCAGTATTTACTTGAGATTTGCATAAGGAAGAGAAATAGGCTTTTCAAGTAAAGGCAGTTTTTAGTAAGCTGTAAGCTTCTTTTCCGATGAATGTGAGAAAATGTGCCACAATATTAACATCCTCAACATCTCCCTTGGTCATAGCCCAGATTTCGAACCTTCCAAAATAATCTTCAAAATCCGAATATATGTCCAACCGTTCCATCACAGGCTTCATCGCGACGCCAATGTGGTAATAAGGAGTATTTTAATCATATTACAAACGAAGAATCCCAGAAATAACGCGATTTAACCAAGAAGTACTAGATGAGCACAAACGTATTGTATTTGGTATTCAAAATCAAGCATTCAACATGTACAAACGAATGATTTGTTCACTCAAGCACCACAGATATCTTGTTCTTAACCTCAGTTGTCACTGACAACCAGACACTGTAATTATATACTATAAATACCATGTTACATATATCTTGGCGTTACACAAGTCATAGGACTTGCTACATCTGGAAAACTTACGTTGATCTAGCCTCCATCACAAAAATCGCATACCACACCATACTATAGAGAAACAAGAGTGATTCCTACCACGATTACAGGAGCAAAATACACGGTCCATATGTTGGCGAACATATTAGCAAAAAGAAACCCTGAACCCGGAATTCCGTTGCAGATACCAAAGCTTTTCAGTATTTTTAAGGAACTGGTGTACTACATGTGATTAGAAGTTGGACAACAATTATAGACCTGCTATTGCAATATTGCTACTAGAACGCGTAACTCGATCTGGTGTTTTTTATCGGATCAATCAGTCTTGTTTACAAACCAGTTTGAAATCAAAATACGAATGCACTATAAATAAATCATTTTCAAAACATGTCTCCATATATGAGGAACCATTCATGATGATTTAAAGCAACACACCTAGAGCAAAAGACCCCAAGAATTGGAAGCGTCGTGATCAACGCGCGGCTAATCTTACTTCCCATAAACACAGTGAGAACCAACTGATTACACTGAGGTTCAGAATTCCATAGTTTGCACCTGTCCAACATTATAATTGGTTCTAATGTCTGAAGTTCCGGTTTACTGAACCCAAACTGAGAACAAGCAGTACCTAGAATCCTTCTTGACGTTCTGGTTTCATAACAAACCATCTCCAAAACGTCTCATCCCCAGTCGGAAAAATACTACTTTTCCACTCACTAACAACAAATGCCCGATACAGATAAATTATTACAGTATCTCATGCTCCTGAAACCTAAATAACTGAAACTTCGTTAGCATAGCCAACATATGCAGAAAGAATATGCAAAAAAAGTGATAAACAATGATTTATTTCAACCCATCCATTTTAAAAGTACAACATGAACAATGCTTTAATGCCTCATCCCAGGAGGCCGAACAGGCGTATTATCTTCAGCCCCCTTTGATTCCGGATTTTTGATCGTTTCGTCTACACTTAACAAAAGACAAGCCGCTTCAGTGGCTGATATTATGGAATTGCTCTTCACGAGTGCTGGCTCCCAGACGCCACTTTCAAAATTGTCACATACGCACTCTTTTTCTATGTTAACGCCATACCAAACATCGCCTGCAACGAGAATGTTGTGAAGATAATATGATTAAAATGTGCAGTTTTATTTTCTGGAGCTAAAAGTGAGATTATGAATGGGAAGTAAACATATTATTACTTGTCAATTTCGATGTTTTGAATACTCACCTTCTAAGTCTTTAGATGTATCGGAGTACTAACCATAGTTGTGGAAACTAATGGATATCTGATTGCTGTCCAAACACAGTCCAAGATAACCCATATAAATGAGCTTGATCTTCGATGGTTAATCAAGCGAACTTCAACTACCAAGTAACAGCTACAAACATCTGTGTTAGAACTCGTATACTGTTCAGTCTTTTCAAAAATACAGTACAGCATATTGATGAAAACAGAACTTTGAGTCATGACAGAGTATTGATGAATCAAATTAGAAATTACAATAAAAATGGTTGTTTGTTACCCTAGTACTTTCTCTGAAACATCCAAGTAAGTTCCACAAAAAAACTAGTCATTCACTGCTTTTTTTCCAACTGGGATTAGCGTGCATACAGTTATAACTACTTGGATCTTCAAGGGTTGTACAGAAATATAGATATGATGCGTTATAAAACAATGTTTAGATTTTACGCTGAGACAAATAACTTATTAATTTGAATAACTATTAATTGGACCACTAAGCATCCAATCATAAGGTTAGAACAATATATTTACTTTGGTTTGAATAGCTGAATAATAGTGCTAACTTCCACACACATGGATGCAGTTTCATAAGTGAATACTTAATCTAGTACTTGATTACTGATTGTGAATGAATTAATAAAAAAGAGTTATTTAGATTTCATGTAATGTATTCAAATGACCATAATACCTTTCGCATGACTGTGACGCAGTTGGTTTAGAATAATAGTTGAGTCCAACCCAGCATTATCACACAACTGTCTAGGGATAACTTCAAAAGCTCTAGCCATAGCACTTATTAATAGTTGTTCACGCCCACCAATTCGAAGAGCTTCTTTGCGAAGATAGCCACTGAGTTCCATTTCGGCAGCTCCACCGCCTGTATAGAGAAAAGAGAAAAATCATTAGTTCGACAAATTAAAAAAGAACACAAAATAATTAAATGATATACTTACCAGCAACAAATGCATCATTTTTAACAGCTCTTCGAACTACCATGATAGCATCATGCAGTGACCTTTCAGTTTCTTCCATAAATTGTTCAGCTCCACCACGAAGAATAATTGTGCAAGTATGGGCTTGTGGACAACCTTCGAATATATTAAATCTAAAATTATAGAAAAAAGGAACATAAAGTGTACTATAATAAAGCAAAATATATGAAGGGAACAAGCATGACTCAATTGATATTATTTCATATCGTGTTTGCATATACAATCTAGTTGACAGTTTTTTTTACAGGATGAAGTGAAGTTAGGAAATAATAATGATTCGATGTGCATTGCCAGCTTGTAAATTAAAAATGCAAAGCCAATATATAAGTTGATGACACAAAACGCTTTTAGTTGAAACAAATAAAATATGACATGTAAATCGAACAAGTCTCAAGTATTATGAAATTTAATGAACCTATTAATTGTGTATATTGATTAAAATTACACTTATTATGACGGACATTAAATGAACAATAGTAGAATAGTACTCTAACCAATAGCTTGATGGTTGAATTCCCAGAGTATAGTGTTATTAAAGTTACTTGAATCCTCCTATAACACATTTATAAAAAGGACCAACCGATGTTATAAAAATAACATCCATTTGAAATGACTGACTGGTAACCTAAATTAATAATAAGAATACATGTGACATGACTGGAAATTATTAATAAAAATAATGTATTTGTAATATCCCAATGAGTAGAAAAATTACGTTTCCAATTTTCTGACGTTTCGTGACTCAGTGTAAGCCACTTCTTCAGAGAACAAATCAACAAATTAAATTAACCCAAGTGTAAATAGTACAAAGGAACAAAGCAAGAATATTTGGTGCGGTCGACTAAAAATGGGTATGACAAAACTTAATTTTTTTACTCATTTGGATACTAAGAATATATTATTTTTATTAATAACAATCTATCCAATGCTTAATTTATTTGAAATAACCAATGACATCTACAAACTGGAAATTATATTCGTGAAGTTTTCTTCAACACACCTTTCTGATCCAATCTGAATTTCCCCAAAAGATTCACAAGTTCCAAGAGCATTATCTGAAAGTCCATGAACAGTTGTTTGAACGCTTCCACCACAAGCCATTTGAGTACGTTTGAGATCATCTTCAGGTACACGACCAGCACAAAACATATCACGATCAGCAAAAAACTGAGTAGCGACATCTCCAATGGGTAATTTGGATAAAACAATCTGAACCCCTTTTTTATATAAAATATCCAGTTTTTCATAAAGAATTTGCCACTCAGCATCAACTACTTTCTGGTACTCCTAAAATTACAAAGTATTTGCATGATGTAATAAGATTCATACCTCCACCGAATTGACACGAATTTCGGCATTCTCTTTCTCGGCTTTTAATTCTAATTCAATATTTAAAAGTGCAATTTTCGGTGACTTATAAGATTTGGGTTGCATTTCAAAGCCAGCATAACTGAAAGTTTTTTTAAACGCTACACCTGCAATTAGAAGTGAATCTTCCAATGCTCCACCAGAAACCTAGAAAATAAAGATTAGAGTTAAGAAACATAAGCATACTAATCGTTAAAAATAAACAAGAACAAAAGATACATTACGATTACTAGACTTTATTTCGAAAAAGATGTGGTGACCAAATATATTTAGATGTTTGTATAGAAATCACTTCACTTGAATAGTGTGAAAGTCAACATTAAAAACAGTTGTTTCACGTAAGTACAGAAACAATTCAAGAACTTGAATGGTAGTTAGTCCATTCACTGAAATTTTATTACGTTATTTGAAGATGTGTGTTATAATCTTGCTATTACATACTGTTCGGGCCAGAAACAATAGCTGATAAAAGATGGATCAGGTCAAAAAGACAACTACTGTTAGTGTGTTAGAGTCCAACTGATTGAATATTCTGAAATTTAAAGTCTTGGATAAGGTGTTGGAGCTTGAAGCGCATGTTTCTGGGCTCAAATCCCAAAGTGAACATTAACTTTAAGATGTCGGCACACCCATCTGACGAGTCCCAGAGAGGAAGAAACGCTGCTAACAGCACTTTATTTATTTTACATAAACTTGTGTCATAACGACTATATCGAGGCAATCCGTAGGTGAATATACGCCAACCAAGACTGATCAAATCCCAGTCAAAATATCAATAACGAGATCATTTAAACTAATATAAATAACGAAGAAGTTTCCAATAAGTGATTCAAACGCTTACTAAAGCGAGACCAACTATTTTAAAACAGATCGCTCCTTAAATAAACGAATATTCAAATAGGTCTTGAGTTTCTCTTATGACATGAACTCACTATTTTGTGCAGTTTATCAAGAACAATATATCATGCACATCCGATATCCACTCTAACCTATTAGATTCGAACGTATGCCTACGACTAGAATATAGGAAAATAGAATCCCATCTTATAAACAATTCACCGCATAACACACACATTTGAAAATTGCCGCATATAGATCATTTTCAGTATGGGGTTGTGGAGACTGTTGAATTGCTTTTAAATCATGAACTGATCAACGCTAGACCATCACTGAAAACCTAGAAACACTAGAAATTTGTTTTGTTCCAGTGTGAAACTCCTCAGTAAAACTCGAACCACACACCGTTTGATGCCGGCCCAGTGGTCTGGAGTTCGAGTCTCACATGCGGGATCGTGGGTGCGCACTGACGAGTCCAATACTAGAAAGAAATGGCCGTCCAGTACTTCCGGATTTTCAGTGGTGGTTTAACAGTGATCGACTCATGATTTCAATGAGATATATAGATCACTTATTCGGAATGGGCTTGAAAGAGTGATAATCGATTTAGATGATTTGTTTACTTAAGTGATGTTTCCGACATTTAGAATATATTGTGGCTTAGTTTTACCATAACGTTCATGACAATACTACTATAAATGAAACTCACTACACTTTAATACAGCTTCGATACTCAACCTTGCATCAATATCAACTGCACAAAAACATAAAATATCCCAATACATACTGTGGAACTATGATAAATGGATATACAAATGTAGTGTCATTTAAACAGATGATATTAAACACATCAAACTTCTTAACTCTCTAACCTGAGACCAATTCAAAATTTTCGAAGTCAATGAACTTACTACATTAATAATAATCATGAGTAAGTGTTGTTCAAAATTAGGCATGATAAACATTAACAAGCACAAGACTTTGTAGCGAAAATTATTTATAAAACAATAAGAATCTTCAAAACATTTAACCCGCACTAAAAAAGAAAAGCCAAGCTGATGCTATTTTTTAAAAAACTAACAAAATGTTAATTAGCATAAACCATAGATGTTCAGTCTTCAAATGGTACGGCCGAGAGTAGTGAGTCAGCTCTCCCTCTCGAAATGCTCTCACATAGCCACGCGTATACATCTACTGCCAGGGAAGTCCTACTCACTGCCTATTCGCAGCAAGGGTGTTGTTTACGAAATTGAGAGGAAGGAAAGAGAATGTTCGACACTTTAACCGGGTTGGTGGATATGGAGGGACCACTTAGAGGAGTTGGAAAATGCTGATTCTAAACCAATGGTGCACATGGGCTTCAGGATCCAGAGGGAACAAATGGCGTATGAACATATTGTTAGTCACCGGCTACCAGGGGACTGCATCTCCTTACGTTGCTCCACTGCCTTGTGGATTAAACCTCCAGGTCAGAGGCCCCCTAAAAAACCAATTGCTTCGGTTTGAGCGGCCGGGCAGTATTTCAGCCCTCACACAAATCGAATGATTGGTGTGGCCCATATCTATTTGGTGCCTCCATGTACCAATGTTTGTGTTTAAATAAATAAATATATGCTTCATTACTATTTTACAAGCCCTCCAACAGCGCGTAGACTTATCTTCATGAAAGGTTACTCGTTTTTCGAAGGGACATGAAAAGCATTTTAAGGGACTAAGAAGAAAAGTCACGGCAAGTATTATTCAAAATGGATGTAACAAGGAATTTATGGTGGTGATACTTTTCATGGAGTAAACAAGGATTAATAAACGCTACAAAATGCATATTGATCTTGAAATCAAAGTCATAAAAGTTTGCTGATAACAGTCAACAAAGTAGTGACAAGTATGAAGCTTCAGAGTAAAATCAATGTAAATAAAAGGTGAGGCCTTTACTTGCATATAATAAGGCGTCAGAGCAACATGCCAGCCAAGTAGGCAAGAAAAATAAGTTCCAAGTGTCATAACGCTTTATTAACGATGACTAATTACTTACCTTTTTGATTCCAATCATCTTCAGAGGTAGGTATGAATCCAACAAACTAACAGCATCAACGACCAGCTTGGCGAAAAACTGTTTATGTCCAGCTACTAACTTAGAGCTTAAGGCAGTTGACGCACACTTTTCCAATAGAGCACGTTGTTCGCTGGAAAGAAAAATATATTGGAAGAGTGATATGGAACGAATGATTTATGTGGCGCCTCCTTGTACTCATGTTTATGTCTTTAGATAGATCAATAAACAAATGGGACAAAATAGCCTGTCATTAAAGTGTTTTGAAAAGGTTCGACAGTCAATTTGTCAATAACTCTGCATATTCATAGATCTACGTGAGGCTACTACCAGTATGAACAGTTGATAAACTAAAAAAACAACTCAATACTGAACTTGTTGAGTCGATTAAATTTACGTAAGAATCCCCACAAAATTATTTGGTATGGATAAATCCCTGATATAAGGCAAACGAACAATCAGTTTGCGACTAAGACTATAATTGTGTGCTTATCAGTGAGTGTGTCGACCGCTTCACTTATCTTGGAAGTCTCATCAGCCCTTGTGGTCTGGTGTGTGACGAAATCTCAGCACGGATACAGAAGGCTCGACTAGCTTTTGCCAACTTGCGTCATTTATGGCGTAGGCGAGATATCCGTCTATCAACCAAAGGACGGGTTTACTGTGCAGCAGTTCGTCCCGTCCTACTTTATGGCAGTGAAACATGGCCGGTAAGAGTAGAGGATATTCATAGGTTACTAGTATTCGATCATAGGTGTCTTCGAAACATTGCTCGTATATCATGGGACCATCGAGTAAGTAATGCAGTTGTTAGGAAACGGGTACTAGGTAAGGATGGCAAATCAATTGATGACGTAGTGTAACTTCATCAGTTGAGATGGCTGGGACACGTTTTACGTATGCCCAACGACCGACTGCCTCGACGAGCGATGTTCAATGGTATAGGAGTAGGTTGGAAGAAAGCTAGGGGTGGCCAGACCAAAACATGGCACAAGTCCATGAAGTCGCTGACAAGTGGTCTGAGTCATGTTGATAGGTGTAGACTACCTGGTTGGGAACCGCGGGATGATAGCCACCGATGGTTAGAGACCCTGAATGACATGGCTCAAAATCGTTTGCAATGGCGCAGGTGCATCCATTCTTTATGTTCTACCAAATTCTAATCTTCTGAATTCTTCATGTCCCGCTCTTTTCTCTTTCCAAATTTATTTCATTGGATTATACTCTTTGAATAAGATCTTTAAACCCTAATCTTCCCGATTACTGCTTATACTTTTACCGCCTCTATCACTACGGGATTTGAATCGACAACTGCATCTCTGTACTAATGTGGTATGACAACTTGAACTGATGTACGTACGTACGAAGTTCTACGTTGTTACTGACTGACTGCTTATCAGTGACTAAAGTTTATATGCAACTCCTGGAGTTTTAGTGATAAGCCATGACCAGTAAAATTCAACCTAGTTCGATGCGGGACAGTCACTCACCACAGATGATGGAATATGGTCACGCAATGTTCGAAATCAATTGAAGTTAGAAATTAAAACCACCGAAAGGCCTACCTAGTGTTTGTAAGCGAGATCGAAGCTCTTGAGTCTGACTCCTTAATATGGAAGTCGTAGATTCACACTGCTGAGTCTTAATAATAAGGAACTACCCAGTGCTTCCACTTTTTCAACAGATGTCTAAGACTGATTTGTGACTCTATGGATACGAATAATACTCGAAAAGGAAAAAGTTATGAGTTGTTTTGCAAACCTGACAGAACTGTATTAACACTGTGAAAATGATACCAATTATCCATTACAATAGGTAAAAACCTTACCTAGGATTCTCTTGTTTAATTCGACAAGCTATGGCTTCTAATCGCTTTAATGCCATCTTCTCACCAAGGTGAAATGCCCGAATAATAACAGATGGATGGACTCCTTCTTCAAGGAATGGCTTGGCTTGCTTTAGAAACTCGGTCGCCAAAAGTGTGACACTTGTTGTCCCATCTCCAACTTCGGCATCTTGGGCACGCGCAATATCGACTAACGTACGTGCGGCAGGATGAACGATATCTAAAAGCTTTAAGATTGTTGCTCCATCATTCGATATGGTGGCCTTTCCTTTATCGTCTATTATAAGCTTATCCATTCCACGAGGACCCAGTGTGGAACGGACTGCATCAGAAACTGCTTCACATGCAGTTATATTGCTTATTATCTGCGGAATACCCTGTGATGAGTCAGTGCCTTCTTTCAGAAGAATAATCCTAGCTGGTTGCTGTAAAGAAGTGAAATGTGTTGGTGTAATGATGGGAAACTACAAATAAATGCACAGTTATTTATACTACAAAAATGTTTCTGTGGCCTGAGGTAACAGACTGGTTACATGTTGATCACGGTCAGATTACTTGGAAGTGAACATCTTTCATTTATTAAGCTTAGTTCCTGTAAGGTAAGCAAACAATATAGACAACTTGGGAATTACGCGAGATTTTGTGTGCTGTGTTGCGAGCCACATCTACTGTACAACAATACATTACTAGGAAGATACAGAAAAGTAACTAGCTTGTAGAACTCAACATTAATAAAAGTACCCACCTGAGCTGAAATTCTAATAATCAAAAGTTTGGATAGAATGAGCAAAAAGAAACATATAAACTTGAAAAAATGTGTCAGGATATCCCGAGACATTGTATGGGATGAATATTCAACTTAAGTACATAGACTGAGAACAAAATATTTTAGCTATTGATTATCCAGCTGTTTTATCTGACGCTTAAACTGTTTTAAAGTTTACTGACAATTACTGTCAGAAACCACTGCTGTAGTTGATTTTTATGTGATTTTTGTTGATGACAGCACGTGATGTAGGAGCCTCAGAAAAAGGTACCACAAAACATACAAGTACGACGCCGTTGCTACAATAACACTGATCCATGACACCTTTTATTTGACTTGACTATGTCCAAAAGTGTTGCGTCGAACCCAGGAAGAAGTAAGTTACTTATGATAAGTCACCAAAAAATAAATATTCTACCTTGTAGATAACAAACTAGATGCAAAAAACAGGTAATCACAATATGAACTGAGCTGTAAATAAATCTACTTTTACATTGTTTCAGATTCTAAAAAGATGTTGGTGGAATACAAATGTTTCAGTGATTCGCCCACACGGAGTTTCCCTAACGACTAACTTCACTTTCAAGCAATGCACATCAACAAACAACAATGGGTTCACACATCCAATAATGTCAAAATGAATACAGTGAGATGTGGAAACCCATTCACAACGAAACCAGTTTATTTTGAGTAATGGCTAATATCCCACCTATTGCAAAACATATATGTATTTGGTTACCGGCTTATTTAACAGGCCATTAAAAAAGGGTTTTGACCCTTTTCTACAACAGGGCAATCGAGCTTTCATTGTAATACAAATAAACACGATGAAAGTGCTATTTGATTTGCAACAAATCACGGTAAACAGAAGTACAGACCTCTGAGATGATAACATGATAGAACAATACACTTTCAGCTCGTGAATGAGTGTTTACCAACCATGTACAGCTGTAGCAATTTTCATATCATTAGCCCTCTTTCATAATGATAGTTTACTTCCCAGTGAGTAACCGACATTTTCATAAATCACTTACTAACTAAGCAATCATAGAAATAAACATGTGCATGAATAGACAAGAAAAACCGCTAGCCATAACGCGAAACCTACAAGCATGGTTACTGTGTGTACCGCGCGCGCCTATAAATCTCAAGCTCACAAATAAAGTAGATCAGTTAAACTAACTTAGGTAGAACAAATAAAACTTATTCAGAAGCATTCTACTTCACTGCTCGACATTATTTTTTGATTCAGCAGTATTTCGTCCTTTTCGTATTTGGTTTCATAGGATTTCAAGGATAAACTGCTTAGTGATAAATTTGCACTTGATGTGCCCTCATTTTTCTTGTCCTCCAAAACAGGAGATTTACGAGGACACTCCAATAAAGTTCACAAACCAAGAACAAATTACGTTTCAGCTGACTATCGATTTTCCTATCGAATCATCGAGTGTAATTCATTACACTAGCATGTGTATGAGGCTCCATCCTTCGACTCTTTGAAAAGAAAGTTGAATCAGAAGACAAACCATCATTGCCAGAACTAACAAAGGCCTCATGTTTTTCCCAAATTGAAAGTAAAATGGTCATCTAATTCTACGAAGGGAAGTTTCATCATTTAATTTTGAACGAAGTACAAAAAAGAGAAAGCTCATAATTCAGTTCATTCATGAACAGCTAACACAACAATTAGCTTCATTGGACACACATGCTGATGTTAAGGATAACTTTGATATCTATCTGTTGGTCTATCAGAGGACGATGAGTAGCAACTTATCGAACAACTAATCCAAATAGAGAACCAACACATGTGTATATCTGACTCCAACGGGTTATCCATACTGTGGCATTTGAACTAACTGAGGACTACTCTGTTCTTGATCGAACGCTTACTAGGAATTTCAAATATAATCCGTTCGCTTGTACTCATCCAGTTCTACCTGTCTTAAATTAAGCTATTTCGAGAATCCTTAGTTAGCAAATCAATTCAGATACTTCTAATTTTCATACTGGCATCATGATAACGTCAAGTTTTGAACAGCTGGGCATTAATTCAAGCGGGTTTTGTCTTCGAAAACTACATGGAGCGGTTTGAAATCTGGTGGATGACTAGAAAAGATATTAAAGATGATAAATGAACAGCTTATTTCCTGTAGTTCATTGGTAAAGAAGCGTATGACCTTTTAAAGAATCTAGCTTTCCCAAAGAAACCAGTTAGATTCTAACGTTTTAGTATGACTCACTAAAGTATCAGTATTGGGGATTACTGGATACACACTGCTCGTACGAGGAGGCTGCAAATTGCTTATTCAAGATGATTATTCTTCATACATGCCTTGTGAGTTTTTAATCAGTGGAACAGGGCCATCAATATTGGGTTTCAAAAATTTAGAAGGGTTTGGAATGAAGTTGTCTTTATTAGTTTCTAAAAAAAGATTCTGACGTTTTGCTTCAAGATTATATAGAAGCGTATGCTAAACGCAATGGATTGATGAAAATTCAGCCTATACAACCTCAAGTTCAAGATGATCCACTGTATCTTAAATAAAGAATAGTTCCCCAGGGTCTTCGAGAAAGAGTGCACAAGACGTTAAATAATTTGTGAGCGAAACGGGTGGTTATACCGATCCAGTCTGCAGCATAGGGTACCCCTATTGTTACTCCCTTGAAGACTGATGGCAAGACCCCTAGAATATGTGGTGATTATGGATTAACGCTGAACTTCTCTTTGTCGAGGAAAATATGCACGACAGTGGTAGAATATATGTTCAACTGATTTCATGGCTTTATGGTATTCTCGAAAGTTGACTTAAAAGATGCTCATTTTCAAATCCCCTCATATCATTTCTCATCCATATTGACAATAATTAACACATTCAGGTCAATGCAAATACAACTTCCTTCGGTTTCGCTTAGGTGTTTCTCTAGCCATATTTCACAGTGATGAGTAAAGTAGTCGATGATCTCAAAGGCTTTGAAGTTTATCAATATGATCATATTTTGCTTGGTTCTGATAAAGCAGCTCATGATCAAAATCTTGCTTTTTTATTGCGTCACTTATTTGAGAAGAATATTACGGTGAATCCAGATAAGTGCTCATTGTGTGTGTTTAGTTTTGACTGCTTTTAATACCTAGTTGAAGATGATGCTTTTCAACTAAATATGAAGCGACTAGCTCTACTAACAAATGCATCATCTCAAAAGCATCTTACAGAACTTAGTAGGTGCTCTTCAATATTATCCCTGTTTTGTTCCTGATTCTTCCAGTCGTGCCAGCTGTTTATTTCAAATCTTGACATTTAATTGATTTAAACTGGATGTGGAACAAGATTCATGCTTGCAGAATCTACTAAAGCTTCTTCCAAGTGATGCTGTTCTTCGAACTTACTCCCCTAATGTACATTCTGTGCTTAATACTGATGCATCGCCTGTGAGCACTGGTGCAATTTCAGAGCACGATAGTAGGCCAGTCATCTATGTTTCACACAAACTTAATGTTACTATACAAAGTTATTCACAAACTCAGCGAGAAGCATTAGCTGTGTTTTGGGCTGTTAAAAGACTTCATAAATATTTATTCGGAAAGAAATTCACTATTGTTACTGATCATGAAGCTTAAAGTTTATTTTTCATCCTGAAAAATCCTTGGCACGTTCCTCGGCTGCTATGGTTCAACGATGGAGTATTGCTTTGAGTGCCTATGACTATATGGTTCGGCACAAAAGTGCCAAACAAATTCAACACGTTTACTACATTTCTCGATAATCATTACAAGATCAACCTGTTATTACTTCAGTGTTTGTCAGTGCAACCTTTACCAGTGAGACGTTCAGATCTCATTAGAGGAACTCCTAGATACTTTGGATGTATACTCAGCGCTATACGAAAATGTTGAAATGATAATCTGAAACGTAGATTTTTTATCTATTTTTCAAAGCGAGATGAGTTATCCGTTACTCCTGATGGTATTTTTTCTTTAAATGATCGTGTTGTTATTCCTCCTTCTTTGCAAAAATCTTTCTTTGAAGATCTTCATAGTGGACATTTAGGTGCTGAGAAAATGAAGTCCTTGGCAATGCTCACATGTTGGTGGCCAGAGATAAATGCAGGTATATGTCGTACGGCAAACAATTGTGAGAGATGTCATCAGTTTAAAAATCAGCCTTCGAAGTGGACGCCATGGCCAGTATCGTCTAAGGCCTGGCAGAGAATTCATGCTGACTATTGTGGTCCATTTTTTGTCAAATAGTTGTCATTGATTCGCTTTCTAAGTGACCTGGAGTTTTTTCTCAACTTCACTGAATCCTTAGTTTACAATCAAATAATTTGGGGAAACAAATGGTGTTAGTGCTTGATTATGGCTCTCACTTTGCTTCAGACACAGTCACCTCTTGATTGAATGGTATGGGATCTAGACATCTGTTCACTGTTTCCAGGTAACCTTGTTCTAATGGTCATGCGAAAAATTTCGTAAGAACCTTGAAAACTGCTACTAATTCAATTGCTGCTCCAACATTTAATGAACTAGAAAGGGAAGTCGATACATTCCTAATGCAATATAGGAATACTATACATTTTGCATCGAAAGAAATTATAACAAACTTATTAAAAGGATTATGCGGTGTTCAGAGTCCACAGAGATTACATATTATCGTGAAAATGATCTTCGACCAGCCATGATGACCGTGTTGAAGAATGCTGGAAAATCTACGTTTCGAATTCCAGATACTGATGATTTGACTACACATAACCGAAATGTCGATCATATATAATTCCAGGAACCAAATGAGTCCGTTCCTATTTCCGTTGTCAATCCTAATACTAATAGGTACATTGTAGATCAGACAGAGTTTATACACGATACACAGCCGGACAAACATATGATGGACTAAAGGAGAACACGCATAATCGATTACACAAATTTTGATTCCCAATTAAGATGTGCCGGTCTCAGTATTTTTACTAACTGAGGATTCATCTGTTCTTGATAGCACATTTAATACGAATTAAAAATAATGCATCCACTAAGGCAGTTTGAACTAGATGTGTACAAGTGAGCGTATTATATTTGGGTTTCGTAATTAGTGTTCGATCAAGAACACAGGAATCCTCAGTTAGTACAAATACCGCAGTTAAGTGCTCAATATGGTCACCATCTGTTCTAGCCTCTCGTTTCGGACCGAAGATGTATGGCATAAAGATGCCACAAGTATTCAGAGTTTTGAGAACGCCTTAACCAGAAACATCTTTTGTGATCAAAGTATGCCAACTCATTCAAATAAAGAGTCAGAAACGAAGAGGTTCGAAGTTATATTTTGTAGGCTAACGATGTATCGAGAAGTTATTAAGCTGGCTAGGGGTTGTAAGAGATGTATAGTACGGTGTACCCACTCGTGATCTGATGCGGATGCGTGACTGAGCGCTTTAAGTCAGGCGAGTCTGTCGAGAGACATAAGTAATATACACCATCAATCGAAAGTGAAACGCCTGGGGGTAGAAGGTTAAGAAGATCGAAGAAAAAAGAACGACAACAGAGAATGATTGGTGTGGAAACGAAGGAGGTATAAAGTTTGAGATGATTGACTGATATTTAGCAAATTAAGCATATGCTGTATGGTTCCCAGATTTTACACTCAGTTGTCCATACTTGTGTTCTCGTTTACTACAAGTCCAGCAGAATTTGTAGTAGCTTACTTCCGTCAACCAACCATCTTGTTATTCATCACTATATAAATCCCAATAGTGTTTGAAATCAGAATGTAATAAGAAGCGTTGACTACTGTTTATTAGCGGATAGCACGGATAACAGTTACAAGCACATCGAGTTGATTTGAAGCAGAGAGGCCAATATGTGTGAGCGAGCGAATACAGAGGAAAACTTACAGTCAAATCAAATCAAGACGAAACAAGGTGAGGCAAAGTCTATTATTAGGATTAGTGCACATATATACATGGGAACGAGAAAGTTTCATTTCAGCGATTAGCATTTAAACGAGAGAGATATGTGCGTGGGCTGTCACATGTGATCAATCGTACACGTTTATACAGATATAACAGTGACCATAATAGTACGAAGAAATAAATGGATTGTTAGTGTCCGAATAACCTTCTGTTAAATAAGGTAAAAAAAGGACTTGACAAAAGTTAACTAAAGTTGAAATTGATTGT